TCATTTTCAATTTAATATTTAATATTTAATACCCAAGCAATGAAATTATTATTTATTAAGAAAGAACGTTAAGAACATGGTCACTTTTCCTTTTCTTTTTAAATTCTTCTAAACACGCGCTGCAAACTTTGAACTTTGGGAGTGTACAGCCTGTGCGTAAAGTGTGTCAAACGTCGAAAAGTCACGAGATTGCCTCAAACAGCACCGATCGAGGAGGGATGGATCTCGCCAATCGGTGTAAAATACGGGTTCACGTTGTCTCCAATTTGCGCGATCCCAAGGGAGATGGAGCCGCGTTAATGCCGGTATAAATTCGCGTTGGAGGCAGTGGCACACGAACGAGAGAACGAGGTTGTGGGAAAGATAGCGCCCTAGCTACGTGAGATTCTCCGTCACTCGTTCGTGGCCGTGTTTACGAGAGGATACAGGTACCAGGGCCCTGTTTCAGTAGGTCTCTCACGGGAGCATCGCAACGCGCGACGTTTCTCCCCTTTTATCATTCGAGCTCAACGGAGCGAGATTAACGCCGACTCGGCATCGCTGGATCGTTCAGCGTTGGCGTTAATTCGCTTCCTCTCGTTTCGCCGCCTACCGTTCCTTTTCTCCTTGATCCTCGGTCGAGCCTTGATCACCCGGATCTCGACGACTTAACTTTATTTCGCGCCTCGGAGATCCGTGTCTAACGTGTACCAGCGTTGCGGGATTTTAATTATCGCGCGAGATTAATTCGACGTATTTCGTGTTTCTTTCTTCTTTCAGAAGAACGAAGTTTCTCAGTGTCTGGTTCTTGCGCGTGGTAAATTTGGACTGGTCAAAATCTCACTGTTTCATACTCTCTCTTTCTCTCTCTCTCTAAAGTTTCCTGTATGTCCCGAGGAAACATGATTTTTTCTAATTATTGTCAAAAAATTCTAATCTCCAAATTTTTCCCGTCACGAATTTGTACAAATTCCTAGCAGAGTTTCCAAGGTTTTCACATTCTGTGAATCTTCCTGTCAATTACCAAAAATTTTCAGTTCCAAATTTTTCGTCACGTGTGCAAATTCTTAGCCAAGTGTTTCACATTTCATCGCTAGTTACGAATATTCTGTAAAAAATTTTAATTTCTCCAAAGGTTTCGTCACGTGTACAGATTCTTCAGCTGCGAGCCGTTCTATCGATTACAAAGATACACTCGGAAGGGAACTTTCTTATCGTGAGTTCACACCCGCGTTTCCGGCGCTGATCACTTGGCGAACTCTTACGGAATACGTATTACGGAAGGGAGTAAAAGTAAAAGAGAGTGGACGTGTTCTAGTAATTAGCCGTAACTCGCGTTATCGTTAGCCTGAAATTATCACAGCCTGCTCAATCGTCGGTGCCCGCCATTTTCTTGCGTACCGTACGACGCGTCCAATAAATTCCTCGCGTTCTCAACCCTCTCTCTCTCTTTCTCTCTCTCTCTCTCTCTCGAGGCGGACGAGAATCAGCCCACTTTAATTAGAGTATCCGATTATTTATTTGCGAATTCCACGATAAGTTGCGGCGAGTGAAAACACGCGCGTGGCCACGAACGGGAATGCGCCTCGACGCAGAGCGCGCGTTCGATTTTAATTAACCATCCCGCCGTTTTTCCGGCACCGGCACGATTTATTTCGCCTTCGTAACGGTTCCTCGACGACGTCATTCCTCTCCCGGCCTCTTCTTCACTTTCTTCTTTTTCCTCTTTCTTCCTCATTCGTAATTGCGATGATTTTAACTGCGTGGACACGCTAGTTAATATTGTGACCGCCGCGTGAGACGACGACGGAGTCGTTTGATCAACGCTAGATGGAACTGCTGGCGATTAAAATGATTAAGTGAAATTTCCATCAGAGATGTTAAAGTAAAAAATAAAAAAAAGAAAGAAATAAAAAACTTTATGGTATGATGAAGTACACAAGTACGAAAATTTCATTTGAACTTCTGTTGAAAGATACGTCTGTAAAATGGTCAACACAAATTGGTCATTTTGTCGACCATTTTCGTAGTTCCAATTCGAGTTAATTTAACTCGGCTGAATCGAATTATTTCTTATTTTTTCGATTCGCTTATTATTTTTTTGGATTCGCTTTATCCTTCAGGAATTCTCGCAGAAACTCTTTAAACACTTGAACGATTTTCTGTAAAAATATTTAAATAGAAGCTTCTCGTGAAGATTCTCCGAAATTCGTTTCATCCAAAGAGATGAATTGAAATCGCGCTCCAAATTTCTAGGCTGACCTGAATTTGTTCAAAGTCCCACGAATTTAACTCTCCACTTTCTTAATTATTTCCAACAACAATCTCAATTTTGTTTCCAATATCACGACGACCTCGGTATAGCTCGCGTCAAGGGTCGAACAGTCCATTCGTCGTCGCTCTTCGCCCTCAGAAAATATATATCTCCGGCGATTCGCGCGACTTGGCCGCTTATTTGATCGCTTAATCGCGTAATAATCTACGCGGCTGGTATTGAAATAACGAACGACGGTGTACGATGTGTTTCAACGTTGCACTTACTCTTGGCTAGCCAAGATGGAGGATCTCTGGCTATTTTCCCTGCGTGTGTGCGTACGTGTGTATCCGGGCGCACGGTGTATGATGATATTACTATCGGTCAGTACGTTATCTTGATCATCAGCCTCGCCGAGAATTATAGATACAGGTTGGCTATCCGCGGATTAACCGAGGTAATGGGATGTGGAGAAGGATGTTGCGAGCATCGTAAGAGGGATGATCGAGTGCCCGAAGATTTAATAAACTGTAATCTAACATCGGTGTTTTACATTTCGCGTCTGCTGTTTTTTTTTCTTTTTTTCTTTTTTTTTTTTTTTTGCATCGGGAGGGGAAAACGAAGATTTGTACGATCGTGTTCATTACGCCGGCTCTTTGTGTTTCCGGTTTCTTGCCGGTGAACCGCTAATAAATTGCACACTCTACGAAAGTAGTGAGCACTTAGTTTCGTGCAAGAAATATTATGTTCCGGAAAGGTCTGTTTGCAGAAGGTAAGATAATTGTCGAAGATCGGTTTCGGTCGTGCCGTGAAGAGCATAAATGACAATGAAAAATTGCCGATAATTTAAACTGATGTAACTTTATAAAAAATGGATCGTATAACGATCCACCGGAGTCTCGTTTTAAAGCACGAAGTTTTATGGAATTTCACTTGACATTTGACCTTTTATACACACGAGTGCGAACTTGCTTCAATGTCGCAGTACGTGTTCGTCATAATAAAATCGTTGAAACTGCTGAATTCATTGTTAACATTGTTAAGTAATTTACAGATTGATGTTCGTTGATTTTACATGTTACATAAATTTCTTCATACACGCGTTACATACATTTTTTTATGAAACTGTTAAAATATTAGAAAATTCCTGCGCTTCATACACGCAGAAGATGGCGTTGGAAATTTTTCGTCGGTGCCCCTTCTTCGTCAAAGTTTCGCAGAAGTTGTCAGATGTTTGACGAAGGAAGCAGGAAATATATTCGACGAGCGTCGACCCTCCATTGTTTTAAAGTTGGCAAGTTGCAGGTCGACGTCCTTATCCAGACCGGAATCCCTGAAATATGCACGATCTCGCCGGTTGACTGATACGTGCCACTGTGCTGCCTCTTCATTTATTCATCCGGTTTTCCCATCGCGGTCGATTTTCCATCGGCCGGTGACTGATATCGCGATGCTATTCTAGAAATAGAAAGCCGTCCGTACAGTTACAAATCGCTCCTTTTTCTCTTTACAATCGCCGTAGTAGTTATCTTTGAACCAACAGCGAAATCGTTCGTTCGATATTTATCGCTTGTTAAAAATATCATCGTTCGTGCCAGTTTCCCTCCGAGCTCGTGCAACGAGCAATAAAATTGGCCCGTAATGGCATTTACTTGCCGCTTGGACGTTTATTATTTCGTTGCTTGTCACGCTCGTGGAACGTCTTTTTTCTCCAATTAGAAAATTACCGATACATTATCGTAATTTATAATGTAAATCATTTTCTATCAAACGCTAATGGCAGAAGCACTTTTTTTTTTCTTTTTTTTAAATTGAAACTTGGTTTTCATTTTACCGAGAAGAAATACACTTGCCATTTATATAATTAATAGATTAATAAAATGTCTAATACGTTAAGTTTATTTGCAACTATTCTCAATCAGTTTATACCACTAAATTCTATTTTTTAATATTACAAATGTAATATTAAAAGTAAATCAAATACGAAGGTATATTTCGTATCGTAAATGTATGATTTAATGTATAAAAGGAAATTCCAGTTATTCTGTATTTGTAAAACTATAATTTTCTGTATTTTCAAGAAACTAAAATATTTATAATAAACGATGATGTACAGCCCTCGACACGTTCATCTCCGCGTCATGCACATATGGCGTTTTATTCTTAAATTTTAAGGCAAGAAAAAATTTGTAACAATATTCAGTAGAAAGAAATGAGTTTTTAATAGTAAATTATTTTTAAATTTTAAAATTATTTTAAGGCAAGAAAAAGCGTTTAATGATAAATGATATTCAGTAGAAAAATATGAGTTTTTAATAGTAAATTATCGCATATCAATACAATAGTAATATAATAAATTATTAAGTAATTATATTGTTATTCTTTTGAACAAATCGGAACTACTTTATTTACATAAAAGTACACGATATTATAATAGTTATTTGTGACATGTTGGAACTTCAGGGGCCATTTTTAATTTTCTAAAGTAAAACTGTGTTAATTAAAAATCTTCTAACTTGACAAACTAATACCGAAGCACGTACATGTCACAAACTTGACATAAAAAGAGATAAAAAAAAAAAACAGCATGGAAACAACTTGGGATATCATCTAAGGTGTAAGCTTGGATTTGTAAGAAACGATTTGCGCTGCACGATCAAACGCGTTGACGAACGAATTGGCACAGATTATTCCAAGTTGAGAGTAGTTTGAAAGCCTCAAGAGTTCAGCTGTTCAATTTCTAATCCAGGCTCGAACTTTGTTGCAGAATGGAGACGTTCCAGGAAGCTGGCGTTCAAATGTTGAAGGAATTTCGCGCGCTTCTTCAGCATTCGCCGCTGCCTCTCCCAGGGACGAGGCTTCTTCAGTTGCTGGCGTTGAACATGTTCGCCATCGAGTCGACGCAGCTGAAAGGTGAGCCACCTTGAAGTATTTCTTCTCCCGCGTGTTTGTCCGATCTTGTCTCGCGTTGCTTTTTTCCCATCGCGATGAGGAACGAAAGAGAAACACAGAGAACTAGGAGAACTTCCTCCCCTCGTGAAACATTCGTCGAGGATTGAATGAAAAGTTCAATGAAAGCTATGTGATTCCCACGTTAAGTTATCGAGTTAACGAGTTGCATAATGCACGTCCACTTCTAACGCGAATCGAGAAGATCGTGATTACAACAGAGTTGAATGAACAGCTTATTAGTTAACGGGAACGTGAATCGAAATATCTCGCAGTGAATGGTCGAACGTTCTCTCGGCTGTCGAAAGTAAATGTCAACTGGCGCGTGAAAATAGCATTCTGTCGTCTGTTCAATCTCACCATTATATTAACGATACATCTATAGAAGCAAAGAATTTTTAAGGGAGGATTCTTTAAGGACCTTTCAGAGATGTGGTTTGACAAGACGAATTGAATTTTTTTCTGCAATCCTTTGGGATCTAAACATCAGATCGTGTCACGTGAGAATGTCGGATTTTTACATTGGGTATTTTTGATAATAGGCACTTGCATCCGCGACACTTTTCCAATCGGGGGATTTCAGTGGGAAAAAAAAGTTTTGGTTCTTAAAAGTAATCAACTCTTGACGCAAGGATAACTCCAAACTTTTAGAAAGATGAAAACCTGTCTGAAGAGATACCTCTAAGGGAGAATCTCGTGACCCAGCTCTGAAAGAGTATGAATTTCCGCTAAGTGTAGCGGAACTGGTTGAAAAACAAGCTTAGGAAAAGCTTTAGAAGGAGATAAAATACCAAATTCATTGAGAAACGACCTTTTCGAGACGGCAAAGGGCGCGATAAGCTTTCCAAACAGAAAACACAATCCCCAAAGAAAAGCAAACCAGCGTTCGAATTGTGCTCCGACTAATGCAAATTCCACGTTTCATTCCACGATGGCGATACCGACACTATCAAATGTGTAACGCGTCTACTTGGCGCATTAGCTGGGGGACGTTCGATACGATTAAAAGTCGAAAATGTTTTGCTGTTCGCGAGAAAAAAGAAAGAAAGAAGGAAAGAAAAGACATGGCGCCGATGCTACGGAATTGTTGCATAGCGATAGATCGATAAAAGGCACGGGTTCGCGCCTGTTCGCGAGAGGGATAAGCCGAGAAGGAGGGAGGGCACTTAAGTTGGAAGGCGGAGAAGAAAGTTGTTACGACAACGTTGTAACCGGCACTTTAGATCGAATCTCTTTCACGGCCACGGCCGTCTCTCGTTATTTAACGGGTTGGTACGTTAAGCATCGTACTCTACGGCCCCGTCGCTTTATTGTTTCACGTCGTTTGGCCGGCACGGCGCTCAGAAAAGGGCGAAAGAAGGAACAGAGGGGCGAACAGCCCGCGATAAATCAAAATAACGACTGCGCCTGCTGCCAAAACCCATTCGAATTCAATTCGTACGTATCCACTGGGGATCTTTTCGTTTCCAGACGAAACGAAAACGCCTCTGTCGATACAAACTGCTTCGTAGTTAGTTTTCAAGCTTCGGGGCCTTTTCGTTGAACAACAGTTATTGATGTTATTGCAAATATTCTAAACCTTCGATTTGATAGAAATGAAGAATTTTCTTTTCTTTGCATTGTATTCTATTCATCGAGGAATCATAGGTCGTAACCTAGTAATAATTCTCTTGAAAAATTAATT